TTTGTAGAAAATGAAGCGTTTGAGAGAGGCGGGGCATAGAGGACCTACAATAATGTACAGTATTTGAAAAATAATGTGTTTTTTGAACATTAAAGCATGTCAACATATTCTGTTACACCAAATACACAAAATAATGATCTTTAAAATAGCATCATATGACCCCTTTAAAGTTATACATAAATCCTTTATGCAATATCAAAAAGGGTGGGAGGTATTTGAAAAATAATTAATCTCATTAATATTACTTTATATTCTTTAATTTTAGAGGTGCCCATATCTTGTGAACAGATTACAGCTAGCGAAAAGACATGGGCTGTTACTTTTGCAACTGGACTTAAAAAAATGAACAATTAAATTGCAAAAATCCCATAGACTGTGACTCGGTGAGACCAGAATATACAAAATCTAACTCAGAACGGTTTTGGTTAACATGCATCCCTAGAAAACTTTCCTCAGGTACATACCTGACCCTTTAGCCCTTGCTCTTTCAGTGTTTCAATATCATCTCTAGTCAGTTTCTGAGATCTGCCATCATCCACTATATGTCTGTTATCCTGGCCTGCTTCCTTAGAATCTGTGACAGGAGAAACACAATATCATCTCATCGGCAAGAAAATGAATGAATCCACAGATAACGACATAAATCCACAGCATCATTTACCCAAAGAGTCTCCTGAGTGTTTTGCTGCTTTGAGTTTGAGTGAACCGCCGGCTTCGATTTCAAACCTGGTCCCGTACAGCTGCCCGACCGCATGATCCAAGAAGAACCACTGCTTCTCAAAGACCACTTTCCTGAGAGACCAAATACACAACAACTAGTCAAATCAAAGCATATGAGGTGAGCACAAGCACTTAACAGGAGTCAAATGTGAATATTAGACTTCGTTCTATGAATTATCACATTCAACAGATAAGCCCTCTAGACTAAACATATAGATTTAATTCAAGTTTTATTTGTTTGACTCACTTTTTATTTTCGACCTGCACTGATTTGAAGACATCTCCTCTCTTCAGCACTACATAGTCTCCGTAACTGATTCTGCTCTCTGCATCACTGTCATTTCCACACTCCGCCATTTACTGCGATCGACGTGGATAAAGATCGACCGGAGGATATTTAGAAACTAGTTTACACTTGAACTAGCCCAACGCAAAAGTGGTCATGTCTACGACTGCAAACAGAACAGTAATTTCATACAAGCGATGCTTCTCTCATCTTTCCCCACGTGTGTTCTGTCACTTCCTGTTCCGAAAGGCCAGTTAATCGAGCGCTGATTTGATTTCCAGAGCCACAGGAAGACTAGTAAGTCCCAGATCAAAGCGATGTTAGTCAGTTAAAAATAAACGTGTTTAATGTATACTCTTCTTTATTGAAGTGAATGAACTTCACATTAAGTTTATACTAATAAAAACTACTACCATGGACATGTACAATGATTATAGCATGGCTTTATCACGTGATGTCATTTCTGTAGGCTGCCTCTGTACTTCATTTATAAGGATAAAAAAATTATATGAGCTTATCGTTACTAAAATATGAATACTTCCAACATAAAAGTGCAAGTATTACACGTACATTATGTATGTACAATACAGTTGTATCCCATTCGGTCCTATTATTCAAAACTAAAGGGTAGTAAATTTATGTATGATTTATAATTTAAAAATCATATTCGGCACGTGTGACTACGCAGCAGGGTTACTATAGTGAACTAAAACTAAAACCACGAAGAAGTACTTTTCGTTACTTCTTATTTTCATTTAATTTACATTTAAGTACTACAATACATAGACTATAACAAATAAAACAGCAATTTTATTAAATAAATTAATAAAAACTATATTGACATATTTAAAAAAAAAATTCTAAAATTGACAAAAACACTACAAAATAACTAAGTAAAATTTAAAGGAAACAGAAAATGTAAAAATAAAAGCGAACTATAAAAACGATAAAAGCAGTGATGATACTTAAAATGAACTGCTATATTGTTTTTAAAAACATAAATAAAATAGCTGTTAAATATATTTTAAGTATAATAAATTGTCAGTGCATGATTATGAATTCCAGACAAGTCAAAATTGGACCTCATAATGAAAGTGACTGGATTTATTCAGACTATTTTCAGATTTTCCAGTCAACATAATGAAAACAAAATGACATTAAACGAAATCAAATTCAGACTTTAAAAGGAACAATTAAACTGAACATATATTTTTTCATAAAACAAGCCAAAGGACCTAGACATTTTGGTGAAGCATTTAATGTAAACATATTTACATTTGAAAAACTGAACTGTAAAAAGCACTTTGTTAGTACACAACTTCAAAGAAACCTTCAGTTGGAAACTAGCAAATCGTTTAAATCCAAACCCCATATCTATTACGCAAATTCATGTATGGAAATGTGTGCTGTAAATTATGTACATTGTTCAGATGCAAAAACAACTTATAAAGATGTCAAGAGTCAGCAAATATATTGTTTCAGATCCAAAATATGGCTTGGATCCTTTGATTTGTTTACTCTCTTGTGCACAAGGCTTCTGTGTGTCTTAAAACTAATATAAAATGACTTTGGCAAATTTAAAAAACACTATCAATTTATTCTTGCTTTTCTAAAGGCTGATGTTGATTTGAGGTCAGTCTTGTCCTCCCGTGAGCTTGTGGAAGAGTTCTTCACGTAATGTTTCATTTTGGTCTTTTGAGCGTGTGGAAAGGAAAATGTAGCCTCCGATATACTCGTGAACCACTTTGCAGTCGCAGCTCTGGCAGGAGAACGCAATTGACACGCTCTGGTCAAAGTCAATGGTCACCTGTAACAGCAATAACACACTCATAAATCATATGCACTTAACCGCCCAACAATCCTAAACCAACGCACACACACACACACACACGCATGTTGTGTTTCCATATTTTATGGGGACATTCCATAGGCGTAATGGTTTTTATACTGTACAAACTGTATGTGCTATTGCCCTACACCAACCCTACCCCTAAACCTACCCCTTACAGGAAACTTTGTGCATTTTTACTTTCTCAAAAAAACTAATTCTGTATGATTTATAAGCTTGTTTCCTCATGGGGACCTCAAAAATGTCCCCACAAGGTCAAAATTTACTAGTATTACTATCCTTGTGGGGTGTGTACCTGGTATTTATCACATTATGGGGACCAAAATTATGGTCCCCATAATAATATGGTCCCCATTATAAAATGTATTATATACATTTGGTCCCCATAACGTGATAAATACCAGGTACACACACACACACACACAATCTCCTTTGTACTTCTCTTCTCTAGCTGGTTTCCTAATCTAGTTGACTAATAAATCTGGCATTGTGCAAAGCATCTGCTAAATGCATAAATGTAAATGTAAATATTCACACCAGCCACGCAGGCTACAAGGTTGTTTGAAGCACTTTATTCACCTGTTTAATCTCCCAGTTGACGTTCCATTGTTTCATGTTGGAGAACCTCCAGGTGGTCACCGGCAAACCGGTTGACATGTCGATGCGGATCAGCTTGTTGTAGGAGATTCCCAAGAGCTCATCTTTCTTGCTTCCTCTGAATCTGTGGCACAAAGTGAAAGAGATTTGAATCATATTTGTTTTAATCATATTGAAGAGCTCAAAAACCAAATTCAGACTTTGAAGGATGCTCCTAAGCGACACCAATCACAAATCAGTCTGTTGTTCAGCAAAACTGTCTGACAAAATACAAATTTTGTCTAATTTCTGAAAAAAAAAACAACAACTTGATATTCAGCATGTGTTACTATAGTTACTATATAGTTTGTACAGACTGCTGTAAAGTATCTGTATATTCCATTTCAAGCATTGTAAACTGTCAGCAGTTGATTATGAAATTGACAAAACGTCAAAATTGGACTCATAATGAAAGTGACTGTATTAATGTAGGCTATTTTCAGATTTTTTTAGTCAACATACCCAATGAAAACAAAATTACATCAAATAGAAAAAATTGACCTTTAAATGGAACAACAGCACTCTATTAAATCTTAATTTCTCAAAACAAGCCAAATGCACCTAGATATTTTGATTATGCGTTTAATGCAAACAGATTAACATTCAATTTTTTTTTTTAATTAATTACATTTCATGGTTGAAGTGCTCAAAAACCATATTCATTCTTAGAAGGATGCTCCTGAGCGATACCAGGCACAAATTAATTTGTTGTTCAGCAGAACTGTTTGACAATATGGCAATTCTATGTCTAATTTATAAATAAAATCTCATATTCAGCATGTGTTTGAATGATTCAGTGAGAAACAGCTGTGTGTTATCTGTATATTCCTTTTGAAGCTCCATAAATTGTCAGTGCTTGATTATGAAATTGACAAAAAGTCCAAATTAGACAAATTGTTAGATTTTTCAGAACATAATGAACTTTAATTGGAACAACAACACTATTAACCCTTGTGTTGTGCTGAAAGTCCTTTACCTCATTTGGTGTTCCCAGTCAAAAATGACCGGCTTTTCAAAAATTGCTTGTACAAATTTCTCATTATGATATATTATCACCAAATCTTGGATTCAATCTTTTGTCAATTTAGCAGTTTTCTTTTCTTTTTGGGACTGATTGATCATAGGGCGCATTGATCTGAGCTTATGTACCTCAGTTTTTGAGTGAAAAAAGCATTATTTTAGCATTTTCAAGGAAAAGAATATCCTCTCTGGGTCAAAATGACCAGAATATAACAAGGATTATTATAACCCATATTTCAGAAAATAAGCCAAGTGCAACTAAACACTTTTAATAAATATAAATAATAAAAAGCACTTTGTTAGTGCACAGCTTCAAAGAAACTCATATTTTATGGTTGGGCTCAAAAACCTTACTCAGGCTTAGAAGTCTGTTCTAGGCACAAAAATTAATCTGTTGTTCAGCAAAATTACCTGACAATATAGTACTTGATGCCAAATTCGGGCAGGGACTGCCATGCTTGAATAAAACGCATTTTGGCCTCCATGAGGGAAAGCTGGGAAATATTGTGAAGGGCCTCCAAGATTCGCGTGGTCAGCTGAAATGAGAAGAATAAAAAGGATTTTTTTTCCCTTGTAGCAAAGCAATGCCAAAACAAATCTCAGATATCTACTGATGGATCCAGTTCAAGACAAATCTTGTCCTTTCTGTGTGTGTCGAGATTGTAATTTCACCTGTTTGGTCTTGTACTTCTTTGCATATCGGGGAGAAACGAAGCACTCGGCATTCAGGAGGAGGCGCTAGACTCTTCATCTGCAGGAAAGACTGGATGTTCTTCACCTCGGTGCGGTACGAGCTGTAGGCCATCGTCTTTCCTTTGGAGGCCAAAATACAGGCAGCTTTCCACTTGGCATACTGCGTTTCCTGTTTTCAGGAGACGTTTATTTTAAGCGAAAGAAACAAATGAATGCATACGTCTCAATTGGAATGTTCATAAAGCTTATGATTATAATTTAACCCTGTAAAGCCTGGCATAGTAAACAACAGTCAGAAAAATCTATTTCTCTTCAAATGAAACAGTTCATTAAATCTTTAGACAAACTATAAAAAAATCTTAAAGCACAACAAAAACAAAAAAACATTGTATATCTGTTTTATGTTTCTTTTTTAACATTAGGCTAAGAAAAAAATTCAATTTTTTTTTTTACTCAAAAATTCAATTTATTTTTTAAATTTCAAACTCAATTTTATTTAGAGGTCCAATCTGAGCAAAAAAATGCAATTTGGTGCAGATGCTGATATTTATCTGGATTTTTATACCAGTATAACAACTTACATTAAATGCATATAAAAATCAGTCACTATATCTTCCAAGAATATGTCTTAATAAGCTTGTTTTATGATCAAAATTCTTTGGTTTTAATTGTGGGGTGCAAAACATATAAAGCAATGCAACAACGATGACTGACAGATGAACAAATAAACGTTCCTCAAAAGCCTGACGAATAATTTTTGATACTCATATTTTACCATATTTTTTCTGAAAAAGGCTGTAGGTGTAATCAAGTAATCTAAGTTTCTTTAAACCAGGAAATATTTCTCTTGAAATATTTATAACAATATAACGGTTTATCTTACATTTAAGAATCAAGATTTCACAGCAAAAAACACACATGTACCACAATCTGCATAAAAACATCAATATAAAACTCACATTGTCGTAGCGAATATAAACCTCGTTCATTCCATCAGCCGCTGGCAGTAACAGCTTGAGGCCGAACTTCTTCTCAGTGACGTTGACATCAGGAATGACCTCACATCCTGTGCAATTAATGATGCATTATCACTATTAGATGCACTGGCTGCATTAAAATTAATAATCTTTTCTCTGTTTGACTGCTCACCTCGTAGATGGAGTTGCTCAATGGGTTCTTTATTCGCAGACTCTTTGTTTTTATAGTAAGAAATGGTGGTGTCCCTAAAAACAAACCAGTATTCCTTATACGGCTTTAATGTCAATCGCTTGGGCCTGTAAAGCAAAGAAATGAACAGGTAAGTAAACAATGTACTGTATAGTTTGTCTTACTGCAGACTAGACAAATGTCACTGAACATGACGGAAAAAAAAGTTGCAAAAGGTACTGTTTTGTACATGGAACTATAGTTTATGCTATCATTCAGTATGTGCATCAAATTAACATGGTATTATCATCTGTATCATAGTCCTATCATGACAATACTTTACAGTAAGGGTTGCCTCTGTTGAACTTTGAATGCTTACAGCAATTTTTTTTATTAACCATGATTGTCTGAGAGTTTTGAATAACATGACTTTTTACACAACATTTTTCTCAAATAAACTTTTATTTAGCTTATTTGAGGACTATTTTTTATTATTTTTAAATAGTTTATAAACTACGTTTCAACAGATTATTCATTAACAATTTGCATCATTTTAAAATAAAAAAATCTGTAACATCATTTTTAAAAATGTATTTATTTTTCTTGAGCAATTTTAATAATCTTAAACTCACCTAAACAATTTAAGTGTATCTTCCAGCTTTGGGATGTCAGTGATATCTTCCTGAGAAAGTCAAGAAAAAGTTAATACTCAAAAAAAGTTAGTTCAAAAGTTTGCGGTCTCCAAGGCTGCATTTATTTGATCAAAAATACAGTACAAACAGTATTATTGTGAAATATTATTACAATTTAACAGAACTGTTTTCTATTTATATATATTTAAAAATGTAATTTATTCCTGTGATGCAAAGCTGAATTTTCAGCATCATTACTCCAGTCTTCAGTGTCACATGATTCTAATATGTGCTGCTTAATATTTTTGTGAAAATCTGATACTTTTTTATTATTTGATGAATTAAAAGTTTAAAAAACAGCATTTATTTGAAATAGAAATAGAAATGTCTGATGAATAAAAGTAGCAATTTCTTACTGTAGTAATCTTACTGACCGCAAACCTTTCAACAATAGTTTCTAAACTTAGCTTAAATTTCAGCCAGATTGATTCTCGATGTAATAAACTGGATGCTGCAGAGTAATCTAAAATCAGTCTCTACATCTAGTTGTTACTTTTGAAATTAGTGCACAATCATCTGTCAAAACAGCTGATGCGTCCCAAAAGCAGGCTGGATATCGATTTAATGCAAGTACCATTGCAAAGCAGGCATCTTCATGAAAAAAATCTAATCGTAATGTCATAAAATCACCAGGATCTTATCAGGGTTTCGTCCTTCCAGGGTGAATTCTAAGTTTGAGAGCGCAGCCTCGACTTCATCAATATCTGGTTCGTTGGAATTGGTCAGTGGCTCCGTTGATAAGGTCAATTTACAGATGTGATACTAGAAAAGATACAAGTATTTTACATCTGAAATGCCAATTTAGATGCATTACAATAAAACAGCTCTCATTTGGTTAGTCAATGACAAATTACACATTTCACCTTTCAATTTTAATATATGGGTAAAAAATACATTGGGTTTTAGTGGATAATTATCAAGGTGCTCATTAAATAACTAATCAAGTAGGTTACTAACTGTATTATATGCTAACCTCCCAACCCTCACCCATTGTGGTTTTCAGTGCAATTACATTAACACTGCTTGAGGCAGAATTTAATTAATGATTCAGCAGCAAATAATGTGGAAAACAGGTGGGAAAAAAATCCCTAAAATATCTGTGCAATGCATAGCTCTGTCATCTGAGAGGTAGTTTGTGAAATACTCGGTCTGCTCTCTCATGGATTTGTTCTAGATCTGCAGACACACACGCTCGCTCGGTTTGGTTTGGTTTATTAGTGCCATGTTCACCTATACATTACTTCAATGTGTAATTGAATGCTATCTTGTGTTAGCTGTGGAATGTCACATCCTTTGTCCTCAAAGTAATTTATCTCATAGCTTCAGGTGAGAAAGTACAGCACTAAAGAATTGACTATAATTCAGCACCATCTATGCTATGTAATGCAACCAAATACTATGACACATACCTGTAAGATGAGCTAATCAGGGTTACAGTTAACTAAAAATAAAACCATAAATGCATCTATAAATTAAATCAAATATTTAACAAATATTTTAATTCAGCTAGCTGCCAAGGCAACATTTCTCATTTTCATTTAGTTAACTTGATGTACTTAAGTAACTAAAACTGAGGAAAAAAAACTATTAATGACCAAACAAAATTACTAAAATTTTAACTAAAATCAAAATAGAAAATATTTTAAAAAGCAGTTCAAAATATTAAATAAAAACTATAGTAGTAGGCCTAGGCGATAAAACGGTATCGGTATTTATCGACGGTATACCTTCTTCGATATCGATAGAAAAAATGTTCGATATAGCGCACGATATAGGCACGTACTATGAGTGACGCAGACAGCACACACAAACATGAACACGTGCTGAAATGAGTGCTGTGCCTGCCTGTGATGAGGAGATTGTGAATAAAGAATGAATATTAGTCGAATTTAAAATAAACATTTGCATTTGAATGTTAGGTGTGCATCAGCAAGCGTCATCAGTGGCATGCGAGATGCGGTGATAATGATTTAAGTGATGTTGTTGAATTTTAATGTTTTGCTAGTCTAGCCCACGAGACGCGCCGCTGCTACGTTATTCATTCAAAATATTAGAGAAATATAGAAGCTCCATGCGGAGAAGATCTTGATTAGGTTAAAACCGAAACCACACGCCTTCTTTCTTTGCATGCACATTTGGGCGCATTATGCAAATATTTCCACATAGTGAGGTAGATATGTGGGGGCGTGTTAGAACGAGCCGTTTTAGGGGGGCGTGGCAGAGTCTTAACTTTGATAAAGAATATCTCTTTGGTTTTGAGACTTTAGTGTTTGTAACTTCAGGGATCTTATCTATGCACAATCAGCTTGTAACACTCCAAAGAGAAAGGAAAACTTGAAATCGCATCATATGACCCCTTTAAATGCAATCTGTGTGAATGGCGCTTCGGCTCTTTGGATTAAGCAATGCATAAACACATTATGCTGTTTTGTTCATAATTGTTTATGCAATTTACGAAATTATATTAGATTTTTATGAGTTAATTTAGACATAATGCACATTTTTATAGAGTTACTTGCTAAATGTGCTGCATTATTTTGCTCATTGTGCCCTCCTGTGGCCTCGGGAGACAATTAGACCTATACAATAAAGACCTATTTAATCTGCATATAAAACATTAGAAATTAGATATTTGTTGTTTGTCTCAATAAATCGTGTTAATTATCAATACAGTGGTTAAATTTAAACATTGTTTTTCTATTGCTTTTTGTTTTAAAAAAGGTTATAAAAAATGTCAATAATTATCGATACCGAACGATATGAAACATTATATCATTGATAAATTTTTTAGCTATATCGCCCATCCCTAATAGTATCTCAAAATAACACTGGAGCCAATGACTGTCTGAATACCTTTCTTGCTTTCTGGAGCTCTGAATTAAACTGATGAACAGAAAATCAAGGAATAAGTTCAGTTTATGTTGTGAACAGGCATCCTGTACCTGCAGGGATGCAAACATGAGCATCTCTTCTTCAGTGCAGTCGATCTCCTCCAGCAGTATCGCCCATCTGGCCTGTTCATACAACTGCGTGATTCTCACAGCATCATACTATGAGAAGAAAAAAATGGCATACTAATTTAGACATATCAGGGCCATCTAATTAGGGATGTAACGGTATGAACATTTCTTATCACGATTATAGTGACCAAAATTATCACGGTTATCAGTATTATCATGGTATTGTTAAAATGTGCTGGAGATGTTAAAAAAGTAACTGACTATAAATAAAATGACTTTTTGTTTGCATAATCACTAAAACAATAACATTACCAATGATGTTCGGATTTTAAATGACAACTTGACTGACAACAGTTTAATAGCATGTTGAAATATCTAATGTAAATGTTCAAATAAAGCTTTGAAAAAGTTTCATAAAAAGGTAAACCTCACATTTCAGCATTTAAATACACATTTCAGCATTTAAATAAAGAAAAGATGTCAAAATGATAATTGATTCATAAATGATTATATGTATTTTATCTGCTCCATAAACAATTCTAGATAACTTATCTGAATTGTTTAAATGTGTAGAATCCACATAAGCTTGTTTTTCATCAACCGGTCAAAATTTACAGCAGGGCATGCAAATCCGGTCCGTTTTTGGCCAGACAGAAACTGCACACAGGCTGAACGTAAATATAAGTCTCTGTAAATCCACTCGCTGACAGCAGGTGGCGCTTATGGAAAAACTGAATTAGAGCTGTTTCCGTAAACGCCGTGGACAAAGCAGTATTGCGATTCCTTTAGGTATTACATGGAGCGAAGATGAAAACAAAATGCCATCGAATCGTTTCTGAAGACAGTCAGAACTTTCAGAGGTACAGTCATATAATTCATTAATTAATTAATATTTTCATTTGTATAATTCCCTTAGCACTTTTTTAAAACCTCCCAGCTTTTCACTTAAAACGAAACTACTCTACATGAGACTGTTACTTAAAATTGTGCTTTATTCTGGACAGTATTTATTTATCGCGAGTTGTTCAAATCGCGGTAATCTAATACGGTTTTAATGATAATTAAAAGATGAAATGATATTGTGGGATTGTTGTGTGTTTGTCTTCACTGAAACATGGCTAAACGACAATATCCTGGACTGCGCTATTCAGCTGCACGGACTCAGCTGCTACCGAGCGGACAGAGATACAGCACTGTCTGGTAAGACTCGCGGGGGTGGCTTGTGTGTGTACGTCAACAAAGAGTGGTGTAACAATGCTGTGGTAGTGACAAAACACTGTTCATCGCTGGTGGAGTTTATGTTTGTGAAGTGTCGACCGTTCTATCTGCCGCGGGAGTTCACGGCCATTGTTATTGTCGCAGTTTACATCCCCCCATGTGCAAACGCTAAGGACGCGCTTCGCGAGCTGTACATCGCCATCAGCGAACAACAAACCAATAACCCTGACGATTTTATCATGATTTATCGTCAAACCGGTAATCGTTACATTCCTACATCTAATGTTGTTGTTTACAAACATATAATGTGGTATGTAGGAATAGTTGATTTCTCACCTTTGGGTTGAGGTCGAAGAAGCTGTGGTACTTGAATCGCAGCAGGAGTCTGTCGTTTTCCTGAATTCCCTGTTCCATCAGCGAGCGAGAGGAATCCAGCCACCTGCAGAGCAATGTCTCAGTTAAAATACACAAACGCAGCGACTGAAACACAACTGATGCATAAAATCAGAAATATATATAACCAATAGACCACCAAATGCCGTGTGCTACAGTGATTTTACCATAGCAAATGGATATTTTTGGGAATGAGGTGAAATATAGCTTGTATAAAACAGTAGAAATAGCAATATGCTAAAACACTTCTTTAATAAATTACAGATTGTATATACTCTCAAAAAAAAAAAGGTACAAAGCAGTCACTGGGGCAGTACCCTAAAGTACAAAAGCTAAAAGGTACATCTTTGTACCTTATTTACCCCTAAAAGGTATATATTAAGTACCTTAAAAGAATGTATTAGTGCCTAAAGTGTACATATTAGTTACCTTTTGAAAGGACACCGCCCCAGTGACTGTTTTGTACCTTTTTTTCTGAGTGTACATTTAAAAATAGTAACAGTCTGTTAGCTCTGCAAACTATGTCAACAATGTAACAATCAGAGGTGTAACAATGGGCTTGTTTGAGATGAGCAAATTCTGCGCAGAATCGATCACCGGTGATCACCGCGAGATGCATGCCGGTTAGAAAAGTGTCCGAGTTACGTCCGACTTGCTCTGATGTCATGCTGACGTGTGCAAAAAAACTCTCGCGACGGCGAGGCGGCTGTGTCGGATTATGCAGTCGAGCGCAGTTGCTCTCCACCGACTGCGCTGATCAAAAGCATGATGGGAAACGACTGACTGACGACACAGATTAATGCTCATTGGTTCAGACAACTGTGATGCTGCGGTTCTCTTCTAAAATATTTAATTTTTATCTGATTTCATATGATTATGTATTTAAATTATGCATGAATGTTCCCAAACACTATGACGGTGCGATCTCTGTGTGAGATAATGTGATCGGCTCTCGGCCCCGCCCCACTCGTCACACAATACAAATAGTGTAACTGGTCACAGGTGTGTGGCTACTGTAATGGCTTCGAATGAATGTCCAATCAGATTTTAGAAACAAATCTACCAGTGTTAGAATCTGAAATATGAATACAAGATCTATTAAAACAATCATATGCTACAATTCAAAAGCGGAAAGAAATGAATACTTTAATTCAGCAAAGATGTATTACATTGATCAAAAGTGACATTTATAATGTTACACAAGATTTCTATTTCAAATAAATGTTGTTCTTTTGAACTGCTATTTATCAAAGAAAGTTTATTGAGCAGCAAATCAGCATATTTCTGAAGGTGACACTGAATGATGCTGAAAATTCGGTTTTGCATCACAGGAATAAATTACATTTTAAAATATATCTGAATTAAAAAATTATTAAAATTAATATTAAAATAATTTATGCTGTTATTTAAATTTTTATTTAATTAATTAATTTAATTTACGCATTTAGCAGACGACTTACAGTGCATTCAGGCTACACATTTTTTTTACCAGTATGTGTGTTCCCTGGGAATCAAACCCACAACCTTTTGCACTGCTAACGCAATGCACTACCACTGAACCACAGGAACACTTGTTACTGTATTTTTGTGGTCAAATAAATGCTGCTATGGTGAGCTTAAGAGACTTCTTTTGAAAAACTCTTGCCGATCCCAAATTTTGAATGGTAGTCTAATTTTGTCTGTCCTTTCTTACCCAGCATTAATGGCTGCTTTATCCTCCAGGGTAAGAGGCTTGAAGAGTTTGGCCAGTTCCTCTGGTGGAAGGTTGGGTTGGCAGGCCATCAGAGGATTCTCTCCGAACCACAGACTGGTGGAAGATGCAGGCGACCCGCTGTCCGGGTCATAGGTCGGAGTCATAGTTTTACTGTACAGACCCAGGGCTCCTGTACAAAGCATGAATGTAAACTTGTCAATTATTGTTTAAAGGGGTCATATGATGCGATTTCAATTTTTCCTTTCTCTTTGGAGTGTTACAAGCTCTTGGTGCATAAAGAAGATCTGTAAAGTTGCAAAGACTAAAGTCTCAAATCCAAAGAGATATTCTTTATAAAAGTTAGGAGTCAGCCACACCTACCTAAAATGGCTCGTTCTAACACGCCCCCACATACCTACGTCACTATCTGGGAAGATTTGCATAACGCCGCCCAAATGTGCACGCAAAGAAGAATAATGTTCTTTTTAGCAACATCATATGACCCCTTTAAGACTTAAATGTTTATCCGAACACAGCTGCTTTTGTTATACAGAAGCAATGTACAATATTTTCTTAAAAAAAAAAAAAAAAACGTATATTATATGAAGTGTATTAAATGAAGTGTTTAAAATATGTACAAAACATGTAATATTAATTCATAAAATGTTCTATTTAATTTAATTTTATTATAAGATTTCTATCCGGAAGCCTAAATGCATAATGCTTATGTGACTTTTTCTAGTCTGAAATTTAAAGTGAACTTAATTTACTTATGCAGTTTATTTTTTATTTAGTTGGTATTTATATATTTGTTTTTTTTTATTTTTGAAAGAAAACATAATGCATGGTAAAAAGTGTAAGAATGTACATTTATACGAATGGATATATTTTTTTGTTTGTTTATTGGTTATAATGAAATGTTTCATAGAAGTTTTTCATTGTAATAAATAAATCACAAAAACAGCAATAAATACCTCCTGCCATGTCCATGTTTAATATGTCATCAAAAGCTGATTCTGTGCCCTTGTCTTTTTTCTTTTTCTTCTTTGGATCATCTGGTGGTTTCAGTAAAGAAAGTTCTTCTGATCTTCTGATGTCTGTCAACAGAGACAGAAAACATACACAGTTTAGTAAAGATTCATGTGCAGAAAGAAATCATGGAAAATGTTATTGCATTTTTTTCACACGTAAAAACTAATTAATTGGTAATTAAAAAATTACCAAAACATATTCATGAATCCATAAATATATTTTAAAACATTCACAAAATATTCTAACCATTTTAAAATTAAAAACTTATGTATTAAGTATTAAATGAATATGTGATCACAAATTTATGTATTAAAAATATTAGTGGAAAAAAATGATAAATGTTTACTTATAATGACTATAGGAGATGTATCTAAATTGCACAAAATGACAAATCTGTATTACATTTATACGCTTTACATAATTACAATACTTTCATGTTACAAAAATATTATATTAATAAAAATGTATAAGGTAACAAATATTTTCCTCACTGAGTGCTTTGCAGATCTCAGCCACGGCTTTAAAGACCACACAAGAAAAGCTAACAGGGAGCCTGACGGTCTTCATGTTGGGCAGCTGGATGCAGAGGGGTTTGTGTTGGGGAGTGTAGCGCAGGTCAGCGTCCGCCTGGACTCCATACTTATCCAGAGTCCAGTGAGTCTTCAGCAGCCAGCAGCTCTTCTTCTCCCACCAGATGGCGTGATCAGACCAGTCCTGAGGAGCCTCTGAAACACAGAGAACCACAAACTGTAAGAACATGAGCCTGAGACAATTCACGCACATACACAAATATAGAGTGCGTGTCATTCAATGATTCTACAGTAAAACAGATTTTTGGAGCAGGCCATCAGTTGCCCTCTTTTTTTTTCAAATATATAGTATTTATATTATTTATATATATTATTTACTTTATCACATCACCTATAAAAACATCCGTTTTATTACATTTATTTATTTTAATGAAAAGGCTGAAGTGGATTTATTTTATTGGGTTTATGTGGAAAAGTTCTCTTACACTCTAAAAAATGCTGGGTTAAATACAACCCAGCATTTTTTAGAGTGTACTGTAAAGACCTAAAACACCAATTTCAATTCAGCATTTAGTTTAAACAGGTCAGTATTTATAATTGCGTTTAATTGCAAGTGTTGTTGTTGTTGTTGTTAACTAAACCTATTAAAAATAAATGTTGAAATGTCACAGATTTATAAAAAAAAAAAAAAAATAAAGCTGAAATGAAATAAAACATAACTAAAAGCTTTTAAAATTAGCAGTGCCTTAGCAACTAACTGTTGAAGTAATAAAATTAACAAAAGCTAAAAAATATATATTTTTTAAATTAAATAAAAATGACAAAAGCACATAAACATTACTAAATCCTAAATAAAGCTAAATTATTTATTTTAAAACTTAGGCAAAAACATAACAAAATTACGAAAAAATTATTTCAACTGAAAATATAAAAAAAGCTGTTCCAAATATTATTAAATAACACTGTTAACTGCTCTCTTCAATTATTTTGCCCATGGCAGTATAGGCCTTTGAACAACTGCTTTATAGATGAAGTTTACTATTATATTAAAGAGGTGAACTGGAACATATTTATGTGGAGTGTTTTAATGTGTAGTTAAACTACAACCATGATGTTACACCTGAATAAATCAGTTCAAACCAGTCGTCCATGAGTAACACAAACATGTCTGATGACATCCCAATTCCATAGAAACCTTGATGATTCCTCTTTTACTCACATTTTCTTCATCCTTCCGCAGTGATCATCATCTGACTCACTCCTGTAATTACCTACTAAAGAAATCTTGGGCTGTCTGTACTATAATACACCTATTAGGTTGACTATAAACACAACATAAACACAACCAACTGAATGAATGGCCACAGCCAATAAAAGACCTTCATGGCAAACCATAATATTTAGCAACTGGGTCATCTGATGAGTCTGTAGAGGAAAGCAAGATGTTTTGCTAATGTTTCTCAGGCTGACACAGTCACACAGTGAACTTCAGACCCTGCGTCTGCAACCAACACCGGAGTCAAAGACAATAGCTCTGAGCACGAGCCTATAGAAAGATACGCAAGGCAAACACGGGCGAACCTGAGCATTTCAACCAGTGTTTACACTCTAGAACTGCACTGGGATTTTAGCTTTTACCCAGCAAACAAAGATGTGTTCTAAGAACGTTATTCTAATGTTTCCATTAAGTTCTGAAAATGTTATGTCTCTAAACATTCAAAATATTAAGTTTTTAAAAAAGTTTTTTTGCTTATAAAATGTTGAGGGAACTTTTCATTCTATCAGTTTGCAAACATTATGGGAACGTTAAATGTCCTGAATAAGTAGTAACATTTTTAAAATGTTAGACAAATGTCTAACTAAAATGTTTTAGAAGAAAAACATTCCATGAACGATGTATAAATAATGTTTTTGTGCTAACATTTTTGAGAACATTATCAAAAACCAGGGGCCTCATTTATAAAATGTTGCGTATAAACCGTCCTAAATTTGTTATTGCAGCTTAGATGTTCAAATAGCTGCAGTTCTCCGACTTTGCCACCAGGAAAAGTGCGTACGCCTGCTCAGACTCTGATGTGGCGGTAAGTACTTTTCCACGTCAAAGACCGTTTTTATAAATATGATCGTTGCCGTGGATTTTAGCGTACGTACACTCTAAGATCAAATCTGTGCGTACGCACATTTTATAAATGAGGCCCCTGATAACTAACAATTTTGCTGAATACAACATTACTGAATAAAAGTTTGTTCATAACTTTGAGAGAGCCTTGCCAGAATGTTAGCCAAAGTTCGAACTCTTGACTGCTGTTTTGCTTTTGTCAACCCATTTGAACCTTATAAAACCTTACTTTGAAGAGCTTTTGATGTGCTCCTGACAACGCTGTGCTTTTCAGAATTAAAATTCCTGAATTTGTTTTCAAGTAGGAAACAGAATTTGCAACAGAATTGCAATTTTAAAAAATGTAAGTATAGTCTTAATAAACATCATTTTTAGTATGAATTACCAATAAATGTTACATACATACAACATATGAAGTATTTCCAGAAGCATTAAATTATATGAATAATAAATGTTTGAAAAACAACCTGTAAGTGTATTTAATTTATATATATTTAATAAATTAATACTATAGAAAGACACTTAATTTCCCAGAATTATTTCAATTGCTCAAAATATATGTCAGTAGATTCAAATTTTGATGTCAAGATTTACTTTTATAAAGTAATATGTTATATAAAATTATACATAAACTTTATAAAATTATCTGTAAGCGAAACAATATTTGGTGTATGCGTCAAAAATGTGTTACTTGTTTTGATAGTACTGAACTAAGTTAAAAGAAATGCCTTCATCTGCTGAGAAAAATGTATTATACATATCAAGGTATAACAAACTAATAAAAATAAATGATATGCACAAATGCATTTTTTTTGTCACAGAACTGTAAATCAAACTGCTCTGACGTGTGACTAACTTACAATCTATCAAATTCCACTTCAACATCCCTTGTGCTAATTCAAATTTACACTCATGAAATTAAAGCTGATCTTTAAATTCACAATCGGTACTGGTTCTTCAACGCAGAACTCTGTAAATTACTCACTGATCTTCTCCACGAGTTTGAGCATGAGACCCCCGATGTGAAGATCCCCCTTGACCCGCAATTTAAACTTCATGCCTTCATCTCCCTCACGCTGGTCCACCTGGATGCTGAGCTCCCAGGAGTTGTGTCCGTAGTCAGCAGCAGTGGCCATGACTCTGCCTGAAATCAAACCACAGACAAACACAAACAGTTACTTTAGTTGCATAAATGTAATCACTATGATAATATTGTATCCTAAGAACTAGTCTGACCAACTATAGCGTTTATTCAAGGTGTAATACATCTTCAGATTAGACCAATATACGTTTTATATAACTAGCTTGAAAAAGTTATGTCCAGTCTTAAAGAAAAAAAATAAGATGACTCACTTGTAAGACTAGTTTATGCATTTTATGCAACAGGCCCAGGCTGCACTTGCACAGGACTTGACAACACTGTCTGGGAGAATGCAAGTTTTGTCTGCGGGTACGAATTTCGGCAAAAAAAAGCAGATCGCCTTACGGCAGAAACAAATGCATGTGTACAACTGTACACTGTAATTATGACAGCGAATTCAAAGTTGCAAAAATAGTGTTCTGCTATCTTTTTAAAATCAAAATTAGCACTTTGTTGAATGGCTTCTAGTATGATTTGGAATATGAGCACACATGACATACGGACGGCTTTGATTGTGCTTTTTTGGAGCCTGTTGAGAACCTCTGGTCACTGTACACACTTGATGACAGAAGTTTATTACTTTAATGTCTCTAATGACAACATCTAAAAGCAGAGGGAGTGATAGACAGAGAACTAAAGGTACAGGGTGGAGGAGGGATGTGATTACAGGACAAGAGAGACTTCAGCTTAAAATTCCTGACAAGCAGAGACAAGACCAGAGGCAGAAAGAGCAGAAACAACAGAACGACTCCCACAGACCCCGTCATCCTGCTGTCTGTGCTGGGTTGTACATCAATAAACAACAAAGCACATTTTACACACAAAAACACAGTCGAGCTCTGCGGTGTAAACTACACAGTCTGAGACTTTAAGGCTCTTTTTGTGACTTAAGATGGGAAAGTATGAGTGTTTTTTATAAGTTGGATTTGAGTCCTCAATTTTATTATTTAAAAATCAGGTCTGTCCACGTTCACTAAGTATGGGGGAGGGCGAGATGTTTGACTAGACTAGAGATAACACACATGCTCTGAACTACCAAGACAAACTATTTATTCAGCCCCAGGGTAAACCTGGTAAATGAGTAGGTTAACATGTCCGCAGGCATAGAAAAAAGAATTTACACCTCCCTAGTGTAACAGCCAGATACTTGAATTCAGATATAAACAAGAAGGACTTTCTTAAGAAATTCATCAGCTCACGATTGCATTTGAAGATCATATGCAACAATTAAATGAGGACTAAAATTGAGTTTTTTTTCTTATATGCACTATGCACTATACTTAAGAGGGCCACAAGAAAACAACCTGGGGGGGGGACAAAACTAGAAAATGCTGTAACATCTGTTACGTCAATAACTTTTTAATCAGATAAACCCATATATAAAAAAGAATACTTTTGCAAACATGCAAAAAAAAAAAAAGTATTCTTCAATATTTCTACTACAGTGATAGAAATGATACAACAACAAACCTTATTTACCTCAGAAAAGACCAAATTGTCTTAATTTTGCCAATAGAAAGAGTACAGAATATATTTAAATGTATATAATGCTGTTTTTCATGGTATGAAACATTTCTTTAATAGGGTATCTTATATCAAACTTTAGCAACTTTAAAACTTTTTGTAGGCTAATCAAAAAAAAATTAAAAATAGCGTGGGGCAAACGAACCTGGAAACGGTTATAATACTCTAATTTGAGTAAAATTATAGGCTAAAGATAAATTATTCCACTCACCTGAATGCGTTCCCGAGTATTTTCCCTTTGGAAAGCGAAACAGATCTCGTGTCCAGGTGCGCGCGCTGGAGGAAACCCCGCCCAGACTCCTACTACGGCGAAGGCTGGGCTCATGAATAATTAATTACGTAGAGCAGCGGCTCTGAGCACGTGAGCAGAGCCTGCAAACTCTCCAATGACGAAGGCGTATGTTAATTGCGAGTGTGTGACGTTGCGCTGTTCGATTCCAACACTCAAGGCTTGTATTATGAATATTAATACTGGGTTATAACAGTCTTCACTATAGTACCATCCGTAACTTCGGTGTGTAACCTACAGGAAGGGCACGTAACGGAAGTGACTAAACGAGCCCGACACACATACCGGAACACTAACTAGATTGTAATTGTTGCTCAAGCTATAATGTCCACATAATGACTAACTTGAGCGTTGTGTTGTGAATGTGATTTTTACACCAGTTCTAGCCAACTGTAAAGATTTAAACCGGATTATACAGCTGTAAATAAATATTATGGTTGTGATTAGTGGCTATACACAAACTACAAAATTAAAATATTCAATTTAGCACAAGCCACGTTATTTAAATCAAATAAATCCATATTATGAATCGTCGAGATGATAATAGACAATCTGGTGCAAATTTATTATTTCACAATAGTCTTAGATATAACAGTGATGATAAAGATGGTTGAGGTTCCTGTTCAAGATGATGAACAATAAACTGAATTTAAATTAATAGTTTTCAATTATTTGAACAAATAGATTTTATTTCCAAATCTTTACAAACACTTTTGCTTTTCTATTAGAAGTTGTGATGTTGCGTTAGTTCATCTGTCCAGCAGAGGTCAGGCTTGGTATACTGGAAATAATAAAACCTTAAGATTACAAGAAAAGCTTAATTTAACCACTAAGAACCCTAAGAACTCTTATGCTTTGTTTGTTTGTTTGTTGTCGTTGTATGCATTCTTTGATGTACCTTGGAGTAGCATACAAATACCACGGTATGTGAATAGGCTATGGCAGGGCTGTCCAAACTCGGGCCTGGAGGGCCGGTGTCCTGCAGAGTTTAGCTCCAACTTGCCTCAACACACCTGACTGGAAGTTTCTATGCCTAGTAAGAGCTTGATTAGCTGGTTCAGGTGTGTTTAATTAGGGTTGGAGCTAAACTCTGCAGGACACCTGCCCTCCAGGACCGAGTTTGGACAGCCCTGGGCTATGGTAATCATGCAATACTGTAAATATTACTTAGGATTGATGAGAGACAGACATTGACACATTTTTTTGTCACGAATTGGGAATAGGAAACTATTAGTTTATGAGAAACACAGGCTGCTAACAAAATTTCCGTATGAAAGCACACATACTATTTATTCCTCCTAAACAACTACAACTTATGCATGACATTTTAATACAAAAAATTCCCTAAAATCTTTCAATGCTGCGTTTCTGCAACGCAAAACTAGGTGGCGCTGTACAGCTGGTGTTCTGCCAGAGTTTAGCCACAATTTCAGCTAAAGACTCACATAGTTTCTGTCTCCCTATGGACATTATTTTATGGTTTGGTAAACCTAACACAGAATGTGGACTTGACCAAAATATCAAATATCAAGGCTCATGCTAAAGACCCTAAATATGCGCCGTTAAAGCAGACTCCCATGAGAGAAGTGTCCTCTTACATTTATGCTAATTCAAACCATGTCCAACGCTTATGATCTTTTGTTTTCCATTTCAAAACGCTGAGACTTGTGTTTAGATCCTACAGGAACACCAGCAGGAGTATCTCATCATAAAGAAGAGGACAGGTGACCATTTCTCTGAACTTAAACCAATTACGCAGTTTATTATAGTTTGATCAGGCAGTCAGCGGCATCTGTGTGTCAAATAGAGAGTCTATTGTGTGGACGATTAGATCCTTCCAGTGTTAAAACTCAGGTAGGGTCCGATTGCGATCTAAAACCCAAATCCCTGCTCGGAATCCACACACGGAGGCCGGTGGGATCAAGCTACGCTCGCGGTGC